AGGGTAAATTTAATCAAGGGGAACCAGCAACATGTGTGCACCAGCAGCATAACTAAATTAGTTTCAATAAACATTTTCTACTCAATCAAGACTCCTGAAACGGTTTTCACCTTTTTAGCAGTAACGGATGCAGTACCCAGGGTTCGATCCCTAGACCTCACCCTACCCATGTACAGTATCTATGTAGACCCCGAGAATTGAACCTGCGACCTGTGTATTCGCAGATAGTTGACTGTTGTCTGTTGTAGGTCTGTAGGTCTGTCGAGTAGGGGTCATAGTTGTGTAGAGGCCGTAGCTGTAGCAATTCTGAAAGGTCAAGGTCGTAGCTGCTACAGTCCCGAAAGGGCAAGTCCACAGACTTCCAGAAGGTCCGGAAGTGGCCTTTCGAGTTTTCCTCACGTTTCTCACAGCAGACCAGAGGAAAGTGGGCAAGTGGTGAGTCCAACTTTGCTTAGTCAGCGGTACCCAGTATCAGTCTCACTTTGTCCAGTCAGCAAGTACCATGTGGGACTGTGTGCACCGTGGGCCCGGTGGAAAAGGGCAGACCAACGACTTACAGGAGTATAAATCAAGAGGCAGCGTCCAGCCATTTATTCATTCCTGCGTGAGCCATGCGGAAGCGCTGCCACAGCGACTTGTGCAAGGAGGTCTGCAGATGAGCCCGGAGGACGCAGTGGGCTAAAGAGAGGAAGTTAGCGTAGCGATAGGGTAGATGCAGCGACAGCTGCCATAGCTGTAGTTAGTAGTGAGTGTGTATGTGTGTTCGAGTGTTAGAGTGATGCGTGCGGGATATCCAGGGTGATCCAGTGTATGTGAACAGTGAGATGTTTGGGCGCAGAAGTCGCTATAGGCCATATCTCTGAGTTTTGAGTGGGCGCATGTCGCCAGTATGCTGCGTTGCTGTTTACGTGCATGAAAAGTGTGTTTGAAAACGAGTCTGATTGCATAGGAGTCATTCGAGGTACCTGCAGGGCCCCTCGAATTGACGTGAAGGGGACCCTTTGTTATCTCTTCTCTCTCTCTCTCTCTCTCTCTCTCTCT